TTGGTGAGGGAACCGAATTTCTCTTCTTTTTTGTTCGAAATTTTCGAATTAATATTCGAATTTTTCATTATTTTCGTGTCTTAAAAAAAAAAAGTGTCATCTTGTTAGTCCTTTGTTATTTTTTTTCGGTTATTACCTTTTGTTGAGGGGCCGAATTTCTTTTTTGTTTCGATTTTTTGAGTCTTGTTTGAGGGTTCGAATTTTCGAATTTTTCCCCATTTATTTTCGATTTTTTTAGAGTAAAAAAAAAGAGTCATGATGTTGCCATTAGATGAGTTAGATCTGGAAGATCTTGAGTATCTCGAAGGATTGGAAAGGGAATTAACCGCTGGGAGCGAGAATTTTTGGAGGAGCTTCACGAACGAAGAGATTGGGAGGATCGTGAAAGACAACTCAGGGAAACCCGAGAAGTAATGGTGATCGATGCTAATGGCCATGAAGAAGAAGGAGAGCTGAATTTTCTAATCCTTGGGGACAAGGAAAGTCTCGAAGAGGAGGGGAATGATACGGAAGTGGTCATCAACCCCGGCGAGTCCGACGAGGAGGAGGACGATGGTCTCGATATTTGGTTGGAGAACATGTTCGAGGAGCCATCTAGTCCTATTTACCGGCCATTCTGTGTACAAGATTGGCCAAAAGGTTGTGGGCCAAAGCTGAAGTCAAAGGTAAGGAAACGGACGACCAAGAGACAACGCAAGGCAAGGGCCCGAATAGCAAGCCAATGTAGGTGCGAACCTTGTGCAAAGAAAAGACAAGCTCAAAGGAAGGAGGTTAAAAGGCGTGGCTTGCGATGGGAGAAGGATGGATGGTGGATACCGGCGGAAGATTGTGTAAGGTTGAAGGGTTGGGACCCATGGCCGTCGGGCGAGTGTTCGAAGGGGATCAACGAGTAACAAGGGTCGACCGGTGACGTGAAAGCGGGCACGAGCGAATGGCGCGCATCGTGCCATGATGCGCGCGAAGGGCCCAGGGATCGTTCACGAGTAGAGGATCGGGGTACGGACGTCGACTGGGAAGTATTGGCATATGGCGGTAACGCGCGGGCGTCGAGCGGCGGAGACGCGACGCACGCTGGGCACGCGGTTGACTGGGACGCGTGCGGGGGAGTCGGCGAAGGTGCGGGGCTCGCGGGCAGTAGCGAGTGGACGTACGCGGGCGAAAGCCTAAGCCGTGTAGGCTTAGGCGAGACGAGCGATGCGATGGCAGGTGCGGACCGCGACGGCGAAGGCGGGGGAGTGCCGGGCGGCGACAACGCGCGCGAGAAGATCGACAGGGGCTGGACGTGCACGGGGACACGCGAGTGGGATGACGCGGATGGTGTCCTAAGCTGCGAAGGATTAGGCGAGCACGGATGGGCGGCATGCGATGCACGCGCGCGGGATACCGCGCGCGACGAGGAATAGCGCCGAAGGCGCGCGCATGGGATGGACCGAAGGCATTAGGGCGCCGAGAGTTTTAGTGTAGGTTTAGAATTAGGGAGCTTCTAGAATTGCTTGGAGTGCAAGCCAAGCATTAGTATTTTGGTAGGTTTAGGATTTTATTGCTTTCTAGACTTAGGATTTCTATTCTTGCAAGATTTAGGGGATCTATTAGATTTAGGCTTAGATTTATTTTGCACCTATAAATACCCCATGTACCCCATCATTATTTTAAGTCTTGAATTGAGTATTGAATTGGTGAGCCAATTTTGAGGGGGAACCTTGTGTTCTTAACGTGTGATAAAGAAGGCCATTAGTGCGTCTTTACATACAGTGTCGGAGAGAAGGCCCTGAGAGCGTCTCGAAGTCATAGTGTCTAGGAGAAGGCCCTGAGTGCGTCTGCTAGATACACCTATCGGGAATAAACAAGGCCCTGAGTGCGTCGTTTATTCGCAACCCATATAGAAAAAAGATCGATCCGTCATCAAGCGCGTGCGACGCGCGAGGTGAGGCGGCGCGAGATTAGGGCGGCCGAGAGTTTGAGCATGTGAGGAGTTTTGGAGAGCTTCTAGAATTGCTTGGTGTGCAAGCCAAACAATAGTTATTTTGGTAGTAATAGGATTTTATTTCCTTTATGCTTTTAATTAATATGTTAGGAGATATTCTAGCATTAAGATTTATTTTATTGCATAGAATAGGAGATCTAGTTTGATTAGGCCTAGATTTATTTTGCACCTATAAATACCCATGTACCTCATCATTATTTTATGTCTTGAATTGAGTATTGAATTGGTGAGCCAATTTTGAGGGGAACTTTATGTTCTAACGTGTGATAAACAAGGCCGTCAGTGCGTGTTTACATACAGTGTCGGAGAGAAGTCCCTGAGAGCGTCTCGAAGTCACAGTGTCTAGGAGAAGGCCCTGAGTGCGTCTACTAGATACACCTATCGATGATAAACGAATGCCCTGAGTGCGCCGTTTGTTCACAACCCGAATAGAGTAAAGACACGATCCGTCATCACTGACTGCCGGCGCGCTGCTGCCGCTGCGTGCGGGCAGCACGGCCACGGCCGGCCCTTGCCGGCCGTCCGGCAACAACTCTCGAACAATCGAACTTCAATTGGCATATCATGAACATAAAGATTGATTTAAACTGGAAACATGAATTTTTGCACGATTTAACCGAACATGGCCGTGGCGAGCGCGCCGTGCGCCGTCGATGGTGTTAGGCCGTCTTTCGACCGAACCCTCCTATCTCTCGGAAATTCTTATTTGACTGAACCTGAAACATGACTGATTGAACACATGGACATGAAATACTCAAAAGACTGAACTTGATATACACGCTACACTTATTCGGCCCGTGGTGCGCTACATGCGCAACCACGTCCCATGGCCAGACCACCGAGCAACATGAACATTAATCGAGTAACATAATACAACTGAACAAGATATTGAATAATAAGGCTGATTATATAACAACTACTCGAAAGAGTGTTGATTCACACATAACCATGATTAACCTATACTACACGCACGGCCGAAGCAATGAACATGATTAAATAAATTGGAGATAACATGACTTAACAAAGGTAAGCTGAGGTTACCTCCTTAACTCTCAGCTGATCGCTCTAAATGATCAAGATAACCGAAGCCTCTGGCGTTACTACGCTTCTTCGTCGTGCGATGCGCGTGCGGTAGGCGTGTGCGTGCGTTGCTTCTTGCTAAGCTTAATGTGCTAGAACTTTGGGAAATTTTCTCTAACTCTCACTCTCTCAATATACTAATATAGGAGCTGAAGGTGATGGGAAAATCGGCCCCAAGCCCTCCTTTTATACTTGAACCGTAAGGAGAAAAATAGTGATGATGGGCATTGGTGGATCATTTAA